AAGGGAGACCCCTGAAAACCTGGGAATGAAACAAGAATTGGGAACCCAGGAAGCCGCCTCTTATTTCTTGTACTGCAGGATTATGATACTGTCTCATACCTCTTAGTTTGATTAGGACAGGCTTATGGAAGCCAGTGTGGGAAGCCGTCAGAAGTAGGACAGTTACTGGCATAAAGCTGAACAAGGGGAAAAAGTCCTCAGGCAGTCAATCAAACTGGTAGGTTCAGCTTTATCTCCAAAGGCTACGAAGGGATTCAGCTAAATTAATGCCAAGTGGCTGAAATCAATAAGTGAATAAGCCTGTATTTCCCAGAGTGGGAGACTTGGAGGAAAAAAAAAAAAGTATTTAGAGCTGGATTTGGATAGATTGGTCCTCTCACATCCTCCCAAACACAAACCAGACCAGAAATAAACACTAAAGCCCTGCAGTACCAAGGAGAAGAACCCAAAGGAGCAAGTTCTGAGAGGGTTGAGAACTGTTAAGAAAGCAGTGTCAGACTTGTGTAGGCGTTCTCGCTTGAGGGTTAATTATTGTAAAGGATCCTTCATTCACACAAGCCTGTCTGTGTCACTACAGTCCTTCTGTTTCTCGTCTTCTGGCATGGGCTTTGCCATTCTCTGCTTGGTTTCCATCTCCTGGCTCTGTGTTTTGTCCACTTTTAATTGTTCTCGACTCTTTGTTTTCAGGCATGCGTTTTGCCTGGTTAAGCCAGCTGGATGTCAGGGGTTTTTCTGTTTTAACTTACCCCCTCTGTTTCTGTGTGGCCTTGGAAGCTAGTCATACCATGTCCTATGTCTCTGTTTACTCATCTCTGAAATAAATAACACCTACTGGGCTGGGGAGTAATGAGGGATAATTAATTAATGCATGCAAGGAGTTCTGAGGTCCTTAACTAAGAGAAAGCCAAGGATCATTAGGTTAGTTAATTCTCTGCTTTGTTTTTCCTCCATTTCTCCTTGGTTTAGATCTCTCCGAATGTGAAGTTAAGTGTGTCAGGACTTTTTTCAGCCTGGTGCTTTAACTCCTGTTGATGTCACTTTTCCTTTCAAGTGGAACTTGAAAACCAATAAGGTAAATTACACATGATCCTAGAATGAGGAACTAACAAAAACATCTCTTTAATTTTTCATCCAGAAAATATTCTCGTTTTACACTCTGCTTCTCTTACTTAAAGGAACCATAAATCAGCGTGTTCCTTTGGTGTTTGCAGTCACAGGGAGAGATTTAGTGCTGCTGGCAGGCCTGGGTCTGAAATGGGCAACTGTCGAGGGCAGAGAGCTGTACGGAGCCACATTCCATTCACACACACATTTGCTTTACTTGGCTGTCGTCCAGGTGATTTTTTTTTTTTTTTTTTGAGTCACCCGTGAGCACGAGGGAAATTGTGTGGGCAGAGGGGAACGTTTTTCATCTCGTGGTCAGTCTGTCACCTCCACTGGCTTTTTGTTCACCTTTATTCTCCTGTCTGCAAAGACAGGAGAGAAGCACATCTGAGCATTACAGAGAGCAGTGGGCATTCCGAAACCCTCCTTCTCAGCAGATGCGGTGGCGTGTCACAGCCAAGGACCTGCACCTCCCTGCTTGATGAGAGCAATTGTTCTGTCTCTTCACCATGCAGAGCAAAAAGGGAAAGCCAAAAAGTGGGGGTGTTGCCCAAGGTGCACACGATTCTGTTCTTCCCTCTGCTGCGGAACGAGCCTAGCCTCTTTCTACTGTTTCCTTTCAAGGACTCCTTCCCCAAGTCCTATGATAGCCGTGAGACTTAATTCACTGACGTCCATAGGTGCTTTAGGGTGCACATTGATACCCCAAGGTTGCCGAAGGGTCAGATCCCTTCTGCATACGTACGCAAAGCTACCTCTGCCTCTTCCCACTTAATGCTCACCAGCACCCCTGTCACTGTCTGCCCCCCGAGTCTCTCATCACTGCAAGATGACTTTCAGCTGCAAGATACAGTTGGGAGTAGATTCACCTGCTGTCACTGAACTCTGATACCTGGCTGTTGATGCTAAAAGCAGCTCTGTCCTTTGGGAAGAGAAGCAGCAGGACTTGCTTGGCAAGCCTGGTAGCTTTTGGGCTCTGACAGCTGTGGTGCTGGTGTCCAGCTTTGTGATTTCTGCTTGTTTCGGGCAGAATCTGGACTCAAAATTGGAGAGCACCTGCAAGCTAACAGGTGGCCATTTCTTTCCTTAGCTGTAGGGTATGAATCTCATCCCTGGCTCTCGTGCTTGAACTCTTGTCACCATCAGGCTCCTTTGTGTCAGCAGCTCCAGGTCTAGCATAGCCCTTCAGCACATTTATTTATTCATGTGGGGATTCTAGTTCCTCTTGCAACTAACTGACTCCTGCTGTTGAGTTTGCTGACTCTATTAAGGTATGAACAGCCGCCAAGAGGAGTTGTTCCTTTGCTCCAGGATACCTAGTTCCTGGGAAGGGTAACGGACAGGCCGTCCTCCTGAGAAGCCCAGGCCAACCTTTGTGGGACTGCAAAGAGCCAGCTGACCGCTCGTGCATGTGGTTTGTCTGACTGTACTGAGGCAAGCTTCAGATTTCCACTTACAGTTTGCTTTTTTTTTTTCTCTTTTATTTTCAAATGTACATGCAAAAAAACATCGGCACATCACAGCACTAGATCACAAGGAAGAGAGGGTGGGGGTTCAGTGGGTGAAGCTGGCTCTGGTATTTGGGAGAAACATCAATTTGCACATAGTTCACTGTTACATTCTCTTAAAACTTCGTCTAAACTGAGACCGTCTCTAGTGCAAGAGCCTCTAAAAGGAACTCGCAGCTTGAGGAGTTTTTCCGTTTCATTTCTTAGGGGTGGATGACCACACAACAAAGGTGGAAGTCACCCAACTGCAGCAGCTTGGTTTAGAACTTGTCTAGCTGGGCAAACATATGTCACAAATAGCTGTTTCTGCAAAAGGCTCCCCCTTCCCTCATAAAAAGAAATGTCAAAGGGTCTGTAAACTGTGTTCACGACTGCCTTCTGGAGAGAGACGTTGTCTGAGACCGAGAGCAAAGGCAAGTCCAGCTACAGAACCTGGCACTGTAACCGCAACGGGAAGTGACTGCACATCAGCACGTGTCACGTTCACACAGCTTTATTAAAGGTGAAGCAATGTGGAGTGATCTTTATACGGGCTGTGGTTCTGTTACACCTCGTTCTTTACGTCAGTTCTCTCTAAGTAGTTGAGAAGGTGAAAAATTCCTGACAAAAAGCTGAATGCATCAGGATGGCATCTTCTTTCATCCCCAAATCCAGGATTTTTTAGTTCCTCGGAACCTTCCCCCATAACTGCAGACAACAAAAATTAGCTTTTTCTCCTTTTCTTTCTTGTCTTGTCTTGTCTTTTCTTTCTTTTCTTGTCTTCTCTTTTCTCTTCTCTTCTGAGGCTACACGCCTTTAAAATCAGACTGACAAGCCTGTGGAGGCTTCGAAGTAAAACACCACATACAGAAACATCGGTCAGCCAGGTTGTCAGGTTGCGCTGGTAGACTCACAACTCTGGAGATCCAAGATTTAAAAATATGTCATTATTTCCTTTTGGAATAATCTGCTGGTTATTCAGTTCCAACAGACAAGGGAAGGTTCGTTCTGGAGCACTGTATTCCTTCAGCTGCCATGCTGGAAGCAAGCTCAGGGGAAAACCTGACCTTTCCAGGAATACTGGCTCTCCTTCACGTATATAAAGAACAAAATCCCAGCCTTGGTTCCTAGACAGGAGAATAAAGAATTTCCCTTTGGTAATAATTCAGACTTCCATTCTCTGCTCTCTCTTGCCCTTTTTGTGGGTACACACATCGGTGCCCACCTGCTTCTCGTAGCTCGCCTGCCTCCTGGCGTGACGATGGATGGAGAAAATGGATTATTCCTTTCTATCCACGGCAGAGATGTGCTTTTCTCTTGGCCGAGGCCTGATGTCCCCCGTGGGTTGCCCTCGAAGAGAAAACCAAACGTAGCCTCTTAGGGAGGGACACGTTATAGGATAACGCAATCCAGTTTCTTTCTCTCGTCACTTGTTGGAGGGTGTTGGGATGCCCTGGGGTGAACAAGGACCACAGTCAGGGTGGGAAATCGCTCTGTGAGCAGACCTACAGAGGAAGGGCTTTCTAGCTGGAGTATTTTTAGAGTAAAATCGTTTCGCTTTGCCGTTTTAAAAAAGCAACAAGCAGAAATTAGTGTGGCTGGCAGCTGTCATTTTGTGAGAATAAGTCTTTGTTCTGTCCATAAAGGGAGTAAAACTGCTCTTTGGGAGACAGGCGGTCATAAAGGCAGTGATAGAGAACTGACTGTGGGTGTCGTGCACTTCTCTTGGCATCCTTGGACATGACAGAGGATAAATGTTCTGTTGTTTCTTGACACAGATAAGCGAGCATAGCCATTTCAATCGGGGGCCAAACTACTGTGCGTTTCTGAAATGTCAAACGTTAAAAAACTGTCCTGGGCCAGCTGATCCACAGCCACGTAGAAAAATCTCGGAAGCAGTAGTGGCATCCCTTAGAGATGTCTCAGGACCTTGGATTTTACTGTTGAGAGTTAAACTTGTCCCCTGAAGTCTGCATCTGGATTGGGAAATGAGGCAAAACAGCACAGTGAGCAACCAAGACTTAAATAAACAGAGTTCTTGTGGAAAGGGCACCTCCTGCTTCCAGGAGCAGCTCTGGTTAGCTTGGCCAGTCTTTGTTTGCAGGACATAATGCTCAAAAGCTTAAACACTGGACAAACTGCTAAAGTTACAGCTAAACAACATCATACCATCGATCTACTCGTGGCTAGAAAAAAGGGAGAGAGGCGATCCAAAGTCCTTCGGGCTGTGAAAAGGTCTTCATGAATTAGTGCTTATACGTGTGGCGGACCTAGTTGCCTCCTCCGTTGTGCAGTGCTCAAGGAACGTCTCTGAAGGTCTCAGTCTGGTTTCTTCTCCCTCACCCTCATTCTGAATTCGAAGCAGCATCCATCCGAGATACTCGTGAAAAACCGGGAGCTTTGCTATGGTCAGGATGTGAAGTATGAGCTCTGCATGGAGTAGAGTCGGTCAATAGGGTTGCCCACGCGGGCTTGGAGGAGGTTGGCTTCAGCCGTCGACAGCAGGCAATCTCCCAGGTGGCTGATGCTGTCACTGTCCATATCGTGAAAAACTCCTTCTGAGTCTAAAAGAGGAAGGAAAAGGAAATGAGTGTGAATGTGGCATAAGCAGGTCCCCTGGGAGAAAAAGGGTGACAGCAAGGCCGTGTTTCACCTGGAGCGATGGTCAACAGGGCTGGTATGAGATGAGCCCCGCACACAGGACCAACTTTAGGCGTAACTCTTTCCTCCCTCACCCAAATACTTCACGTTGGATGGAGGGAAGCCCCCGGCCTCACTCCCTGGCCCCTAGCAGAGCTCAGTCCGAGGCTCTGCCTTCACTAAACTTTAGAGAAAGGCTCCGCACAAGGTCCAAGTCCTGCGGAGCACTCACTCAGCAGTCACAGCAGAGTTGGCTTTTCACGACTTGGACTGCTACGTGCCGCTTTGGTGCAGAGAGAGGACAATCTCCACACCGTTCTCCTACCGTAGGGGTGCAGGTGGTCTCCTGGAAGTTGGGGCGGCGTCAGCCCTTGTCTGTATAAATCTGTGCTGTAGCCGTTCTGATCCAGGGGCAGCAGCTGCTGCTGGGGGATCCTGGGGTAGGGGACCATGAGCCCATCCAGGCCGTGAACGCTTGCGCCGTCTAAAGACACAACCGGTTGGATGGGTTGAAGCAAAGGGGCAGAGCACTGTCGCGATAACATTACTGCGGCAATATTTGGTGGTCTAACTCTGGACCAGCACCGCAGCGTGGTCTGTGCATACGTGCAACAGGAAAAAAAAACATCGTCTTCTCAAAAAGAGGAGCTGCGTGCTGCGTCACGAATCACAGAACCGTTTAGGTTGGAAAGGACCTTTAAAATCATCGAGTCTTGCTGAACATCCCCTCATTATTCCAGCCGCTACACACCAATTCAGTTACAACCTGGGTGTTTTTGCTAATCTCTTCCCGCGCACATTCTCTCTCAAATACATCAGAGTCAAACCCCTCCGTCCCAGCCTGCAGCCCCCCGAGCTGTGGTCGTGCGCAGCGCCTCCTCACCTTCGCTATCATCATTGCTCTGCCTGCTGCTGCGACCGGTCCCTCTCCCGGTCCCTAAGCGAGGGTTGCCCAACTGGTCTTGATCCTGCTGTTGCTGCTGCTGTTGTTGTTGCCTGCGAGCGATCTTCTTCATCTGCAAAGAGACGGAGACCCCGGATTTGAGGTTCTGACTGAGAGAGGAGGGGGGTGGGTTGCGTTTAAACACAGCAACTGCTGCCTGCCTTTCACAGGGACCGAGCGGTGCCGTGGTATAACCCTGCTCTGGGTGAGTCCTCTGCAGTCAATATTCTCTGCGGTCGTCCCTGCGTGAGAAACAGAGCTGACAGAAAAGGCTATATTATCTTGGTGGGCTGACAGAAAAGGCTGTATTATCTTGGTGGGAGATGCCATTTGCAGTTTAAAAACCAAAGGACTTTGGTTTGCTACAAAGTGAGGTTTTCAAAGCGACGTATTTTCTGTTTTCACCCTTTAAATTCTGCAAAATTAGGAAATGTTTCAACTTCTAGAAGAAAGAAGTGGGAAATCCTTCTAGTCTTTCTAGAATGAGGGGGGAAATGCAAGTAGGAAAAGAGTAATCAAAAAAAACCCCAACATGAAGAACATTAAGCCCTGCAAACACCTAATTAATGGGTTTTTGTATTTCTCTTTAAGGTACGTGTTGTAGGACTAGGTGGACCTGTGGTTTGGTCCTGCATAGATGTTCTTCTGTTCTTCTAATTTTTTTTTTCTTTTTCTAAGCTATTCTGTGTTTCCTTTTAATTGAACGAGTGTGCGTGATATCCCACAGGCACGCAGAACCCAGCTGTGACACGGGAACCATCACTCACCTTTGCTCTTTGGTTCTGGAACCAGACCTGTACCACCCGCACAGTCAAGCCCGTCTCAGCTGCCAGGGTCTCTCTCACCTGTCCACAAAACCCGAAGAGCTGAATCAGAACTTAAGTTGCACTTAAAAAGATCCAAGCCAGCAGTTGCGCTGAGTGGTCTCCTTATACCTTTCTGCAAGGTTTCGAGGAAACCTCGAACGAGGCCTTGAATGCCCGACGCTGCTGTGTGGTAAGGATGGTGCGCGGGCGCTTGGAGCGCTTGTGGTCTTTGCTTTCCTCACTGCCTTTGCCGTGCGAGTGGCTGCCGTCTTCATCCTCGCTTTTCACTGCAACGGAAGATCGGTAGCAATGATTTAGCAGAGAGTGGCCTTTCCAGGCCATCTCCCAGGACAAAGATTCAGAGAAACTTGTCTAGAGTTTTGCTCCTTCCAAGGTGTGATTTAGAGCAGAAGCACAGAATGAAGCCAGGAAAGCTCATGGACTGAGCTGTGGCTCGGGGGGAACGCTGTCAATTCAGAGACAGCGCTGATAGGCCAGCCTGGCCCCGTATCACCCGTTCTCTAATCTCTGAGATCAGCCCAGCCAAAGCTCGCCACGTCGACCGAGTAGATCTCGGCAGCCTGCTACCCCCTTGGCTGCCTGTCACCAAGGGGAAAAGATGCTACAACCTCCACCTCCCTCCATCTCCTCCCTCTGCAGCCTTCCCCATAGTTAATTAGGGATTAAGCGATACCTTGCCCTCTACAAGCTTCACCCCGGTTCCCCGCCCTGAGCACGGCTCCAGCCCCTCACCAGACTCAGTGGGTGCGGGGCTGATAGCACTCAGCATCTCCTTCTCCTTTTCATAGTCGCTGCGGCAGAGGAGCTGCCCTTCTTTGAGCACAAACTCGTCTCCCCGCTGCAGACGCCGCTCGCACTCGCAGCAGTAGAAGCAGTGAACGTGGTAGACGTTCTCCAGCACCCGCATGATGAGCTCGGAAGGAGCGATCGCCTTCAAACAGCTGCTGCACTTGGTCTGGAACAGCCTGCAAAGAAGGTGCCAGCGGTTAGACAGTGGGGCAGGGGAGATCAGCCCTGCTTTGGGGGGCTCAAGAAGCCAAGGGAAGAAGGGGGTGGATGTTTGGAGCTGTGCTAGCACATCCCGGCAAGAAGCGTACATCCCAACTGTGTTTTGGGGCTTTCCGAGCCTCCGTAGTACCAGGGAGGAACACGAACTTGCCTGGCCCAACAAGACAGAGCTCTAAGTCCCCTCTTCTTCTCCAGAGCTGTTCACTGCCTGGCTTTGTTAGGTCGTTCCTAGTGAGAGGACTTAGTGGAGCCCTCCAGGACCATCCCCAGGGCTTGGAGGAGCCTTACGCAGGGAGTCCCACGAGGGAGGCTGTTTGTGCCCCACACCGTGTCCAGAGAGAGAAATAAACAACTGCTGAGCACCCCACGTACGGAGCAGATGGTTCTGATGAAGTAATTTGGGATCTAAACAAACGTGAGCGGTGGTGGCTGCCGGCTGACAGCTTCTATTTAGCCACTTGACAAGAGAAAGTAATAAAATAGGGATTAATTAGGCTGTTGTTTAAACACACAGGATCTTCCCCACCAGCAGGGAACTCATAAACTGGGATTGAGAACAAGACTGGGTTAATCCTCCTGGCAAACTCTGTGGAGCAGGATGAAGAGGCTTACAGGGGTGGGCTCATCCCTTCCAAATACCACCATGGATTTGTGCTGTGCAGTGGCTTTCGGCTGAAGTGTCTGGGACATTCCAACTGGAATAGTGTGGGATTTCTCTCTCCTTTGTGTGAGCATGTTTGCATGCATGTTCCTCTTTCCCTCCCCGTCTCTCTTTCTCTCCCCCTTTCCCCTTTGTCTTTCTGTAAGTGACACTTGAAAAATAATAATCGAGTTTGAGTTGCAAAAGCTGGGAGTAAAGAGCAGCCTTTTAACCACAACCTCTCACTGTCTGACGAAGGAGCAAACTGTGAGCGTGTTCCCGGCACAATCCCAGTCTGAATCTGGGCTGAGTCCAAGTCTGTCCCTTTCCTAACGCCAGCATCCTTCCGTTCCAGCAGAAGTGAAATAGTAAAAAGAATTAAAAAGACACAACAATAGAGCCAGTCCACGATCACGGCTATCTAGGATCAGTCGGAAACATGTGACCTGTTACTAAACATGAAGTTATTAATGTTCCTGGACTTTAAGCCTGGGTGGAAGATAACGGTGATGTGGTCTGACCCTGTGTTCATTGCAACCCAGAGGATCTCGCCCAGGGATTCCCACCTCAAGCCTGTTCGCTGGTGGTGGATGCATAGCGAAGGCCAGCCCATCGTGCTCTGGAGGCTCCAAGCGAAGGAGGATCTGTCCGCATCCATTTGGAAGCGGTTCCAGAGGCTAACTACCTCCTCATTCCTTCTTTCCAATTTAAATCTTACTTTATTCCATGCCCAGCAACTAGACTTTGTCACGTCTTTATCTTCTTGAGAACCACTTGTAATGAGTTATGCCAGTTGTGGGTAATCAAACTATTCTTCTTTCCAGATTTCTGTCCCTTATCCTTCAAACAACCGGTTTAAAAGTGAGTACTGACTTTTCTTTGCGTCTCAGCTGGGAGAATTACTGCGCCTAAAGAAAGGTCTGCCTCGCTTCGTTAGATGCTGTCGTGTAGCAGTATCTAGTGACACAAATATCATTTGACTTTGCGACAAGCTAGCCCCAGGCTCCCATCTGGTCTCACCGAATCTTTCAGAGACGGGTTTACTCCCGTAACACACCCAAACCAAGCTGGTTCTGCCCCGGAGCCCCAGATCCAGGGAGAGATACATGAAGAACATAGACCTGAAAAACAGAAGCTTTACTTCAATATCCCGACCTGTTTCCAAGTAAGGAATGGGAGAGTTTAGGAAAGCACTGATGGAAAACTCCCTGTCTTGTTTCACACTTGTGTTTTCTTAATTATTTTTATCCATATAGCTACTGGTAGCATTCCCTGGGTCCTTTTATATTTCTAGCCTCGGTGATATCACAGGTTGCTTGAGGAAAACATCCAGAATATTGCTTAGCCAAGGCAGGTAGAGGAGAGCTTTGAGCGTGATGACTGGGGGCAGGCTGATAGCGAGAGGGATGGAGCAGAAGAAGGAAACATGGAAACAGATGTCAGAGCTGGGAAAGGAGACCTATTCACCTGCAAGGCACCAAGCCGATTCCTCCCGCTGCTGTTGGGACGAGGCCGTTAGCAAGCCTTATTTAAAGATGCTGTCATGTGCCAGATTTCCATGAAAAGGGCTTTTTTTGCAGCTATCAGGTGAGGGAAGCACCGTTACTGCAGCGTAACTCAATAACGCTTTTGGCATCGCAAGGCCCGCACCCTCCCACCTCCCAGCTAAGCCCTGAAAACAAATCCGCTCTGCTTTGTACTAATTGAAGAAAACATTCAGCAAGCAGCTCATAAACACGGTGTCAGCTCGCATTACACAAAATTAAAATTCTCAGCCCCTCCAACACCAGGAATTCCTAAAGAGGCTGGTTTTAATATTGCCTGAATCCGTTTAAGTCAAGGTAATATTGTTTGGGTTGCCATAGGAACAAAATACATCTCCGTTGCTGGCAGTGGGTTACAAGGAGGCCTGGGAGGCTGTGCTGTGGACGTGGCTACACAACGTCTAGAAGTGGCTGCCTGCAAAAACTACGCCGAGAGACAGTCCGAAAAATAAAGTGGGTTCCCAGGTTCATAATGAAAAGTGCATTTAGGAACAGCAAGGACACGAGCGAGATCTCTGCATGCTCCAGGGGAAGAGCAGAGCCTCAACGGCAGCAGCAGGACCACGTCTAAGTGCCTGTAACTCACGACAGCTATATCCCGCTTCTTTTGGAAAGACCCTTCTACCGCCTGAACCTCATAGCCCACGTGCCTCCACTTCTATTTTGACCAAGTCTCCCCATGTCCTTACTCTTAGTTTCCTCAAAATCCCATCTGAATTTGATTTCTGTTCAAGATTTCCTTACGGGAGGTGTGGTAAGACTATCAACTTTTATTCCTGTGAACATTCAGAAACCATCCAGCAAGTAGAGGGAGGTGCGTGCGTGCAGGTACATATCCCACCTCCTTCTTACCAGCTTACCTCAAATTAATTACCTTTGCAAATGGTAGAATTTGATTTTCCTGCTGGGGGATTGCTCAACTTGATGGACAAAGTGGCAGTAGCAGGAAGACAGATGGGCTTCTAGGTGGGAACATCTCTGGGAATCGCAAAGGCGGCGGCTCGGGAGCGAGGGGAACGGTTACTCCTGAGTCAGCGTGGTGGGAGAGGCTTGGGGCTACAGGGACAGATTTTGGTAGCCGGTTCTTCGCACTGGTAGCCACTCAAAGCAAGAGAACCGGCGTTGCGGGCAGAAGAGGCAGCCTGGCAACTGGCGGAAAGAGGGCAAGCACATCTGTACCGTTTGCCGACTCGGAGACGGCACGTGTCACCCAAGCAAGGATGAAGATAACACGGTATCTTAAGAGAGCTTTGATGCTGGGCTGGAGGCCAAATTCGCTGACTGCCCACACTTTTCCTGCCGGGAGGTATTTGAGGCCAGCTCTCGGGCCACACAGCTGGCACATCTGCAGAAAAGGTTGAGCAGAAGCACGGGCAGCAGTGCCTGAAAGTCCCAACGCTATTTCTCTCTTTCTCTTTTATGCCTGGGTACTACAGCAATGCCCAACATCTTCTTGCTGAAATCTTGGTCCCAACAGCATCCTGTAGCGAGGAGTTATGTACTCGGTGAAAAACAATTCCTTTATTTGATACCCTCATCCTACCTACAGCTTCACCGTCTCTCTTTTACCATTAACAATTTCCTTTTAATAACAAAACAGGTGGGGAGGACCCAGCATGTAATTAATTTCCCCCTGAGAAGTTAAGTAAAGTTTTAAAGCGCGGAGCAGCAGGAAGAGGAATCGCAGCAAAGTGACCACATGCATCTGTCCGGCATTTGCACACAGCGGAGGAGCTCTGAGATCTTTCTACAACTTTTCAGACATTTTGTGGACTTTATTTATCAGACTTTAGCCCTGGTAAAATACCCCAACGCCTAACTCTCCGTTAATCCTTGCCGAAGGCTCTGGAGGAGAAGCAGCAGCCCAGCTCCCAACTCTCCAGATGGGGATGAGCCGAGCGGCAAGTTATTTGAGAACCTCCCTGACCTGCCATGGCACAGAGAAGACGCTGACCCAGGCCTGGGAAGGGTAATTTGGGGGGCATACGATTGTCTCGATGGGATTAAAAGGTGTTAATGAAGCAAGGAATAAGCTGGGAGGCCTGTGCTTCATGAAACTAGCTTATTTAGTTAGGGTTTAGTCAAAATGAAGCAGTCCAGGCTTAAGCAAGGTCTGTTTACTTAACATTGAGCTGCAAAATCCATTGTAGCTGTCTGAAATATTGAAGTGGAACTTGCAAAGCCTCTTTCCAGATTTCGGGCTGGGGGCTAGGGGCGTGATGGGGAAGGGGACACACAAGGGAAACAAGGAGGCAGCGGCAGCACAATATGCTCTTTCATTCCTTACCGCCACAGCCATTTCCTCCAATTCAGCGATACAGAGTGGCACCAGGGGATTAAGGGGGAAAAAAATTCCCTTCTGCTTAATTTCTGACTTCTTCCAGCAACGTTTGGGTCAGAGAGAGAAGGAGGAATTTGAGGACAACAGTTACCTTGGCTCTCCGATCCCTCCGAAGCTCTTTGTGGGTTACATGGATAGATTTACCCCCCAAAAGGAACTTTGTAATTGTGTAATTATGTTATTGTGCCTCTTGTCAAAAATGGCCAAGACTCAAAACGTACTCAAACCTCCTCTTAACGTGGCCGTGTACGCCGGAAAAGAAGTCTCCAGAAATCAAAGCTTACCAAAGCCAAACTGCCTGCTGCATGCAATGTTCTCCCCCGAGGAGCGGAAAAAACAAATTCAAAATAACAAGTGTTAGTCATCTCACTTAAATGTTTCACTAAAAGGCAGAAGGAGTCGAAGAGCCACCGTCGCACTATTGCTGTCGCA